GTTAAATAATATGGTCTAAATGGAAACATTCAAAGCAATTAAAAGTTTAATAATGTCATGAAAAAACCCTTACCTTTTAAATACTATGGAATAAACCATGACAACAAAGAGCATGGTAAGTATGATGCCAAAACAGAGGCCAGCAAGAATTCTTTCAAATTCTCCTTCATCTGAAAACAAAGAAAGAATGATGAATACACAACTCTGAACCAAGAAGAGCTATGATAGAATTAACACCCTTGCAATATTGAGTATCTTCAAAATCTTTTGAATTTAGATACTATGAAGTAGGGAGCTGGGCAAGGCTGAAAGAGCCAGCCAACTGCAGCCTTTGGAATGCTAGGGGATATGGAGAAAAGCATATAAATTAGAGACATGTTTGTTTAAAAATAAAGTCAGGCTCAGCTGGAAATATAGATAGGGACAGAGGCAATTAGGATTGGATTGAATCTAGAGGAACAGATGGGATAGGGCCATTAGGAAGAGGGGAGTGGAGGAGATTTGAATTTGTATGCATACAGTATAAATAAAGCTAGACATTTTGTTTTATTTGTTATCTAATAAAACTTTTTAAAAATTTTCTACATCTCTGTCTTGTTGTTTTAATTCAATAATTACAAGGAAGAATGGTCACAGTTTACCACAACTGAACTCAGCAACTAATGCATCCACTTGTCTAGTATACTGAACACCTGGAAGCTCAAGTACCAGATCCAGAGAAAGATCTTAAAGGTAAAAGGACCAGGTTTGTGATAGGAAACCTAGGATTAGAACCCTTTCCTCCTGCTTTGATATATGCCCAACATTAGTCACTTGATCCTTGCCACTTCTTCACCATACACTACAGGTCTTTAGGCCATATTGTTAGCATACCTACCCCGCAACCCCCCTGCACTCTATAAGGGTCTCATATTTTCATATTTTCTATATCTAGAGACAGGTATGTTTTAACAGGTGATCTTTGCTCCAATAGAAAGTTTCCCATGGGAAAGGCATGTTGACCCAAAGACATGTGGAGGCTCTAGGCAATCCCAAATATGTTAAATAAATCTGCTTATCTCTTCATTTCTAACCCCCCCCCATCTGTCTGAGTATCCTCTCACACTGGAAACAAAGGCAGTCCCATTGAACTAAGGTGAGTAAGATCATACCTCCTACCTGCCATGTTTCCAATCAACTTCCCTATCCATCTATTATGGGGTTGTCTCAGACCCAATCACTGTTTTGTTAATCCAGAGTTAAGACTATCTACTGAAATTGCCCTTTTTGTTAAATCCTATAAGAAAGCACTCAAACTCTTTGAACTTCATGTGGGAATGTTAAGTACCCTGTGAGGGCACCAAACAGGAGATAAATATCCAACCCATACATGGTCATTCTGCACATACAGCTGCCACCTGTCAGAGCTCTGTCCAACTGTCCAGAGCTTCCTCTTCCTTTGTCACCCTTGTATGCTGTCTAAGCCACACCCCACTTTATGTGGATTCCTCTACAGGACTGGTAAATATCACATTCTCTACAACCCTAAGCTTCCACTATCCAATTTTCCATACTTCTTTTATGGTTATCCTTGTAACCAGTGTTTCAGATTGCATTTTTACTATGTGTTTGTGTTGTCTTGTGTATTTCTAAATAAAGTCTTCTTGATTCACCACACTTTAAATTCTCCCGCAGTTAGCACTGATATACATAGGTGAAAATGGTCCATCAGGTTACCCAACCTCTTGCAGGCCTCTTCTGAGCTAAACAATTCCTCCAACATTTAAGGAGACACTGACACAGTTGGTGGGGATCCCAAGTCCCCCCCCACCTTTTGGGGTAACAGTAAGAGTTCAGGGGTGGGTGGGTTTCAGGTGATGTGAGTGATCAGAACCACATGGCATTAAGGGCTTTATTCCCAGAAGCAATCCTTTACTTTTATAATTTGCTCCTGCAAGCCACCCAGGCAACATTTATATTAAAGAGTAGGATATAAATTCAAAACATAAATATAAATGCATATATGCATTAAAATTTCATAATACCATATTTCAGTGTAGTAAAGTGTCGAGGCTGGCTTCGAGCTCCTTCTCCCTTACTTGTGACTCCTGAGATGTGTACTCTGTAAACAGATTTTGCCTTAAGTTTTGTCAGGAGGTATTGCTTAGTTGATGATCTGACAACAACACCTGCAGCACAGGAGGACAAGAAGGAATAAGTTAGACCAGGGGTTGGAATTGTTTGGCCTTCCAGAAGAGACTGCAACTCCCATCAGTACAGTAGCTTGCACAGCCAATGGTGAAGAATTCTGGGAGTTACTACATGATTTCCACACTCAGTTTTGATAGATAGAGGCCAAATATTAATGCTTCTACACACCCACTAGAGAAAAATGGCATATATAGACAATATTTTGTTTGTAATGAAGTCATCCAATTATAAAGGTGGCTGATGGCTTTATTTAATCCATTCTAATTTTAGAATTAGAAATTGAAGTAAATGGTTCCTAGATCTTTATCAGTAGTTTGAGCAGCTTCTTTAATGTTTAGATTAGAACCCAAATTGGATTCAGTGCCTCAGTGACATGGAAGCTACCAGTCACCACTGCAACTCTTAGACAGACATCTGTGGGGTTACTGCAGACATAGAATAAATAGAGCAATCCTTCCTATCCTGTAGGATCCCAAAACCAAACTCTTCCTAACAGAGATGCAGCTGTTCTAACATCATATTTTTGGTGCCATGCCAACCCCCATTTGTTTACCCAAGCATTTGAAACTCATTTATCTTAAGCTGCTTGATGTGAACTATCTGTTGTGTGTATTTCCTTTCTTTGAGCATGGTACATGACCTTTAAAAAAAAGAAGAAGCAACTATCAATTCATTAGAGCCAGCATGGTATAGTGGTTTGAACACTGGACTAAGAATCTGGTGATCAGGGTTTGATTTCCTTCTTGGCCATGGAAATCCCCAAGGGACCTTGAGCAAGTCACATACTCTCAGAGTGAATTCTGTGATAGGTTCACCTTAGGGTCACCATAATTTGGAAATAGCTTGAAGGCACACAGCAACAACATTGATTAATGATACCTAATGATCTATTTTATAAGGTGGCTTTAACAAACACTGAGAACAACAGACATGGAGTACTCTGGGTGCGTTAAAATGTAATGAATTGCATTCTTCTTGTATAAAGATGCTTTTAAAAAACCCTTCTAACTTTGGGTGGCCACTCTAAACCATTTTGACTCTGTCTGTGTATGTCTTGTGCCTTCATTTTCCAATTTATGGTGACTTATGGTTATCATGGGATTTTCTTGCCAAGATTTGTTCAGAGGGGGCTCGCCATTGCCATCCTCTGAGGCTGAGAGAGTGTAACTTCTCCAAGGTCACCCAGTGGGTTTCAGGGGCAAGCTGAGAATAAAATTTTGACTCTAATAAGAGGGAAAAACACAAGAGCTGACTGGCTGACTAGAAACTTTCCCTGATAGCTACAGTGGTATGTTCTAGTCTTTGGTGAGGGATTCTTTTCACTGCAAGACTCACTGATTCTGCTTGTCTGGTTACCTGCCTACTTCTTTTAAACCCAACTTACCATGTTCCCAATGGAAATGTGCTTCCTCGGCCCAAACTCCCCTTGTTTCAGAAGGGGAGCTGCTATTGGCTCTATTGCAAACCTGAAAACAAATGCATGCTTTCCTCCAAACTTTCAAACAGGAAATGTCATCCAGCTGCTAGATGAACAATAAAGTTTTGTTTTTTATCATAATATTCAGTCACTTACTTGAAGAGACATTTTCCAGGATTTCTACATAGTAGATTCTGTAAGCTTGAAGAAATCCTAAGCACTCTTCTGCGGGTATTTCAGTCCATTTCACAAGCGCTGAATGCTTTGTGACAGCTGGAATTGTCACATTAGTTGGACCTGTCCTGGGAACTTTTATTTTTTAAAAGAAGTCATGTCAGAACAGTTTTTCATTTCTCAACACTCAGTTTCATCCAGTAGCTGTATTGTATATATTTGCTATCCTGTCATATTTTGACACCTACTGATTGATAAGAAGAACTGTTAGCTTTGGTTTGCCTACCTGAGCTGTGTTTTTCACCTAGTTGTCTCAAAAGACAAATGTGTATGCCCATCCCCTCTCTCTTCCTTAAGAGGCTCACCCCTACAAGCACTTCCCTTTTTGAAACTGTCAATTTGCTTTTGCAATCTTCATCTACAATAGATAACTAGGATGAGAAATGACCTATTGATTTTTCACAAGCAACAAGAGATGGAAAATGAAAAGACCAAGGATTTGTGCTCTAGCAATACAACACGGATGTCAATGCAAGAATACATCTATGTACTTGAGAAAACAGAGATGCAACAAAGAGGAAATAAGCGAATAATTTTCATTGGACATAGCAGTATTCATCAGGGATTTGGCCCCAGGTTTTTAAGTTCTCCTTTACTAGATATGTTAAAGAGAGCACAATTCACAATGTCGGACTCTATTATAGCTTTATTGGTACAGTGCTTTTGATTTTTTTCTTTTGATTTTTCCACATTTTCATAGAATCTTGAAAGGGATCTTGGAAGTTGAAAAGGACCACAGGGGCCATCTACTACAGCCCCCTCCCATGAAGGAATACACACAAAAAAGTCTCACCAGGAATACTGTATCCAGTTCTGGGCACCACAATTCAAAAAGGATGTTGACAAGCTGGAGCGTGTTTGGAGGATGGCAACCGAAATGGTGAAGGGTCTGGAAACCATGCCTTATGAGGAGAGACTTAGGGAGGTGGGAATGTTTATTCTGGAGAAGATATAGTTAAGAGGTGATATGATAGCCCTGTATAAGTATTTGAAGAGATGTTATATTGAGGATGGAGCAAGCTTGTTTTATGTTGCTCCAGAGAATAGGACCCGGAGCAATGGATTCAAACTACAGGAAAAGAGATTCCACCTAAACATTAGGATGAGATTCCTGACAGTAAGATCTGTTCAACAGTGGAACACATTCCTTCAGAAAGTGGTGGAGTCTCCTTCTTTGGAGATCTTTAAACAGAGGCTGGATGGCCATCTGTTGGAGGTGCTTTGATTGGATGGGGTTGGACCGGATGGCCCTTGTGGTCTCTTCCAACTGCATGATTCTATGATTCTATACTCCTAAAAGATGCCCATTCAGCCTCTGCTTAAAGACCTCTAAAGAGTCCACAACCCATGGGGACAGTCCTTTCCACTGTTGAACAGCTCTTGCAATGGGCCCTTGGTATTTACTGGGGTTTGGTCCCAGGATACCCAGTGAATTCTCAAGTCCCATTATATACAATTGAGTAGTAAAATGGCCTCCATCATATAAAATGACAAAATCAAGGCTTTCCTTTTAGAATTTTAGTTTGAATATTTTGAAGCCATGGATGGCTGACTCCATGGATACAGAGTCTGTGGATACAGAGGGCTGACCATACAATAAAGCAGTTTTTCTTAATGCTTAGGTGGAATTTCTTTACTTGCAATTTTAATGAATTAGTTCATGTTCTTGTCTCTGGAGCAGGAGAAAATAAAGCATACTCTGTCTTCTACATGACATCCCTCCAGATATTTAAAGACAGCTATCATGTCACCTCTCCACCTTCTCTTCTTGAAGCTAAACAACTTGGGAATTGAAATTGAATTAACTGGGTCTGTTAACCACTTGATGTACACAATAGATTCAAAACTGTGAAGATACAGAATGTTTTTTATTATGGCACCAAAGTTATGTAAGTAACAAAGTAACAAAAGTTAAGTTAACAAAAACAAACACTTACTGGTTACTAAGGTATTCACTCCCTTTGCTGTGATATACCGAAATAAGCTCTGGTACAAGTCACTGCCTCTGGAACTCACCTAAATAATTGAATGGAATCCATCTCTGTGCACCTCTTCAAGTGCCATGTAATCTCAGATTAGGTGCACTTATTTCTAGGAGGTCTTAAATTTTATTGGAGAACATATCTAAAGCAATAGCATAATTAAAAACAAGAAGCTATCAAAACAAGCAAAGTTGTGTAGAAGGGCTGGGTTATAATAAAATACCCCAAACTATGAACAACCCAAATTCAAATTATGTATTCAATCTATTAATATAAAATGGAATAAATATGGCTCAGCTACAACATTCTGTAGTAAAGGCTACACACAAGGCTAAACAGGCATTAGTCAGAGAGGCAATCACAAGATTAATTGTAACTCTGAGTTGGTGGAAACATCTGCAGTTGAGATGAGAGAAACCTTCCATGGAACAACTATACTCCACAAAGCTGGGCTTTACCATTTTGGGAAGAAGCCCTTATCAAAGCTCATTTGAAGAAAGCCATGTGCAGAAAGTCATGTGAGAAGCACAATAAACATATGGAGGAAAGGTTTCCTGGTCTTATGAAACTAAAATTGAACCTTTTGGTCTTCCTATAAAATGCTATGCATAGCACTAAGACAATAGTGCTCCTTGCCCTGAGAACTTCATTCCTATAGTAAAGCATGGAGGTGCCAGTATCATGTTGCTTTTTTTTTTTTTAACAGGGATTAAATAACTAATATGTATTAGGCAGCCATATTGAGGCCGTGTGCTTGAGGCCGTGTGCTTCTTACTGAAGGGGCAGAGCTTCTGTGAGTCACATCTGTGAGTCACAAGGGGG